AACTCGGTGCTTCGTCTGAATTTGCTCATTTTATGGTGGAAGTTTAGAATTGTGAGATTTGCAGAGAAAGGAGGTGATGATGGATTTTGAACTTCTCTGTACGTGTCTTTCACCCACTGAACTACCATTATTCAGCTATGACAATGTAAACTCGGTTTTGCATTCTATGACCCCTTTAAGGCACAAAAGTATTCTTTTTTGACCAGAGAGCACAGTTTATATGATTATGTTTATGGTTTCATTTTCTAAAAAGCACAAGTATAATTTAAAACATCACCTTTAGCACTATCCAGACCTTATTCTCAGATGTTCAAAGTGCCTTTGGTTCTGTTTGCTGAGCTATAGATGCTATGAAATGATGACCTTCCATCTTAAAACACCTCTAGTTTAGGGATCTAAATTAGGTTTCCTTTACTGCCTAGTTTAAAATCACATGCAAGAAGCAACATGTAGCACCAAGTTCCAGTAAATTTGTGCAAGGGGATCACATCTCCTCCACTGGTGCTTTTGTTACTCAAGCTGCTTGATCTTAACTCATCTTAATGCATATATGTGAATATTACCTGTCAAGCAGGAAAACATCTCCCGTTCCACTTCACCTCCGTACTTCCATCATTCCGATCATCTCTGGCCAGAGAGAGCCCTCTAATAGACCAAGTCATTGAGCAATGCTTATCTTTTCTGCATGTCTTTGCATATTTTGACACTTTTCATGTGTGATACATCATCATCACTTGTGTTTGTGATGAATGAGTTCCATGTTGTCTTTTCTGGTGTGATCAGTTTCCTCTGACTGAAGTCCTTATGGAGTGGTTCTAATGCAATAGAATCTGATTTTATGGTTAGGGTTCAAATAGTACAAACTATTTGTCATTTAGCTGCTTCTTCAGTCATCATTTATATATATATATATATATATCTGTTCTCGCTGGTGAACCGTTTCCAGCTCTGACAGACTTCCCTTCATACACAAGAGAACAGTTTGTCGGCCAAGTTAAGATGACAGAGCGGGGCCCCCAGGTAGCTGCGCTGACTTCAGGGATCATCACTTGTGAGACATCCGAACATCTGGTGCTCATTAGGAATTTAGGAATTAGCTCTTTGACAGCCACTCGTGGCAGGACACGTAACAGGACATGGTAGATCAGAGGTGATGTAGCCACTTTTGACGTGATGTGTTCTCAGAGGGGCCATGGTTTACAGGTCAATTGTCGGGGTCACTCCAGAGGTCGGATGGTTTTATTAAAAGCCCGCTGGCTGTTCTTCTTTCAAACTTGTCTGTTTGAGATTAAGCTGTTGTCTGTCCTCTTCTCTTTACCCCAGCATATCTCCTTTCCCTTTGTTCTATTCATTTATCTTCTCATTTCCTCGTATCCTCACATCCTTTATTCACTTTGCTCCTTCCACTACTTGTTCAAGTTGTTTTAGAGTCCTTTCATTTCCTCTTTTTTCATTGGTATTTGGTTTCCTGACTGTTAGTGATCTGATCTTTTCTGTCTTCTTTTCATCTTTGAGATTATATTTGATGTTGAGAAAGATCAAACAAATTTTTCTTCTGATATGCATTTGCCTTTTTACCTTTTATAGGTTTCATATCATTTTAAATTCCTAATGTTTGACAAAGATAACATAAGTAAATAAGTATTTCATTTAATACAGAACTAAATGTATCCAAAACAACCAGTGCCTGTTAAAAAAAGGCAACCACCACTAGCCTTGTTCAATAATGAATGTTTGCTTCACTTTCTCTGATAATTATCAGATCTCTAGAATCAAGAAAGCAGTCAAATAGAACCCATCCAAATGCAAATTAGGCCAACGTTTCTCTAAACAGACAGTTTCCTGATTATGTTGTAGAGGAGTCTAAAATGATTTTATATCATTCTAGAAAAGGTCAAATTATTTTCCACATCCACTAATGGGGAAAACCTGGAACAGTGATGAACATTTCAGGAGTGGCCATTCTACCAAAACTACTACAAGAGAGCATCAACAGCTCATCCAGGAAGTGACAGAAGATTCCAGATAAACATCTAAAGCTCAGCAAATTTAGCTGCCTTAGTTAAAGTCTGATGTCATGATTTAGCAGAAAGAAATCAGGCAAAATTGCCTTTCAGTTAAAACTCCGGGGTTGAACCACTGCTGTCCCAGAGGAACGCAAAGTCCTGCCTTACAGATACCAAGTAATACTTCTCTCTGATCCAAAAGACTTTTGGGAAAAACCTGTGGATTGATGAGACAAAAGTAGACCTTTTTGGAAGGTTTGAAGCGGTTGCACATCTGCAATCCAACACGGTGGAGATAGCGTGATGTGTGGGGCTGCTTTGCTGATTCAGGATTATGAAAACTTGGTGCAATCAACGGACCAATGAATTCTACTTTAATGCCTATAAATCCTGAAGGAAAAATATCCAGCAATCATTTTTACGACCTTCAGTTAAATATCTTTGGTTCTGCAGCTTTTAAATTTGGGGTGTTAAAGATACTGTGGGATGACGACACTTTGTGTAATGTTACAATGGGTTTGATCATTTAAGACATGTTAGCATTAGGCATGTAATACCCCAATATAGATAATAATAACTGAACTTTATTGATCTCACATTGGAGAAATAACCTGTACATTTAACACATCCCCTATTGGAGCAGTGGGCTGCCATTGTGCAGCGCCTGGGGAGCAGTGTGGGGTTTTAAAGGTCTTTGCTCAGAGACCCAGAGTGGCACACTATGAACAGGACCCCAGGAAGACTAGCTGTTTGCCATGGCAACAGCTAATGGGGATCCTTAATAAAATTACAAATTACAAACACAGTCCACATAGTCCCATACTATGAAATGATTGACAAGAAAATACAAGATTCATGCTCATATTTTTTCGCGTATAAAGGTGTATAAAGGTGCAAACATTCTTTTAAGGCATATGATAGGCAACATTTTCTCTGAATGTTTAATGTAGATTAGGGCTGCAACTATTGATTATTTTGCAAATGGTTTCATCTGTTTATTATTTTTTCGATTAATAATCAGATAGACAAAGATTTATGAAAGAAGACTTTTTATGAAATTAAAGTTCTTGAAATTAGTTCCTTATAGAGCATGTTAACACATGAAAAAGATTATTAATCTTAAATGCAAAAAGTTTATATATTTTTTACAATCTTGGTATAATTACTGCTTTAAGTGGGTTCCTCTGTCAGCTAAAAGCATATTCTACAGTCTCAATACTCCACTTAACGATGAATTGATAATTAAAATAGTCAACGATTATTTCAATAATCGTTTTATCACGATTAATCTGATTAATTTTTTCAGCCCTAATGTGGATTGTTTTCTTTTTTCCTCTACAGCTCTTCCATGTGGCCTATGTGTTGATCAAATTTGCCAACTCCCCCCGTCCGGACCTCTGGGTTCTGGAGAGATCCACAGACTACGGTCTGACCTACCAGCCCTGGCAGTTCTTTGCCTGTGAGTATGTTTGACTCCAAAATCAAATCAGATTCTATGAGAATCAACAACTAATCTACTAACTGTGCTTGGGGAAAGGTCTTTAAATCCTTCTCTGATATTTTAGACTAAACAGGATGCCTGGGGTTAGGGGTGTTGGGGGTGGAGGGAAGGTGAGGGGGGCACATGTTACCTGATTGAGGGAGGCAGCTGCTGGTGGAGGTGGGCTGCAGGGGAATTCCTGGAATGTCTGACAACAGGTCACAGCTTGGTTTACCTGATCATAGGAAGTGGAGGCTTTGGGTGTGTGTGCCATTTGTTACAGCATCTGCATCCAAATATAACCTGAAACACTAGTAATTAAACGTTAATGTCAGCTGTTATGTCCAAACTGGACATGACAGCTTTGCAGCTATGGTAAAGGATGGTTTCTCTGTGGTTTACTGCACACACAGAGGAGCTCCACTGTCAGAAAGGGACCCAGTGGACAGTTCAAGTAGAGGTTTGTAGAGAAATGTTAACATTTAGAAGGAATCGATTACCTAACCTATCGAGATATGATCATCCATCTAAATTGACAACAAGAAGAGAATCAATCAGAGATAGCTGAGATGTTTTAAAGGTAAATCCAGAGGAGCTGCAGAAATTTACAGCTTAGGAGGGAGAAGCTAAACACCAATTATGCACTCCACAAACTTGGTCCTTTATAGAAATGTCAAGAAGGGAGTTTATGGTAAAAGACAGCTAAAATATTTCCACTAGCCATGTTGGAGGTTTGGCAAATATTTGGAAGAAGATGCTCTGGTCAGGTGAAAACAAAACCAAACCCTTTGATCTCTTTAAAAACTAAAACTAGGTGCATTTCCATTTCTTTTTTATGCCCATTTTTTGAATTGTTGCATCAGAAAAGAAGTTTGCAAAAAAAGTTTTAACTCTCGCTTGACTTGGTTTTGGCTTTTACAAAAAAGGGTTTAATTCACAAAAAGGAAGATGGAAATAGTGTTTTTGAATTATCTTTAATGGTTGGAACATTTACTTCAGTTGATTGAACAGCTGTTTACTTCATGGAGGTTGCTAATATGTACGTAAACATGGATGGAAGCAACATTTTTAACTGAGATTTCAGCATAAGAATAAGTTGCTCAACTCAACTCAACTCAAACTTTATTTATAAAGCACATTCAAAACAACTGGGGTTGCCCAAAGTGCTGTACAGGAATCACAGTTAAGGAACATAAGATAAAAGCTAAGGCTAAAATACATAAACACATAAAAATAGAATAAGATAAATTTTTCAATTAAAATACATTTTAGAATAAAATAAAATTTAAAATAATGCTCAGTAGAAACACATTCATTAAGACTTTCCTCCATTGCCAATCTGTGGTCTGTGCTTTGATTCTACTTCCTGTTTATTACAACCATGCGTGACAATGTATTATAGACGATGACGTATGATAACTTTGCCTGGTTAATTTCAATTTATACCCAATAAAAAAAACAGCAGAAATTAACCTTTCCTTTTTTTTTGCAAATTTTTAAAAGTTTGCATAAAATTCACACTTAAGTTGGATGTAAACATGGCTACTTATGAGGAGGGTTTTCTTCTAGAAGACCTTCTAGAAGACCACACTCTGATGGTGGCAAGCTACATTGTAGCCACAGCTGCCCTGGGGCTCACTGACAGAAGTGTTGGAGGCTGAACACATGTTCAACTTTCAACAAAACAACTAAAGCCCTAAACACTCAGCCAGAGCTGTGATGGAGTGGTGGAATGGCCTAGTCTAAGTCCAGACCTAAATCCATCTTTGAGTCTGTACCTGGACTTAAAAAGTTATGTTCTTAGCTGCTCAGTGCTCCATGTCTTCTACAGCTGGATCACAGGATAAAGCCTAATATCGACCGCTAATATCAAACATTTATTCAAGGTTCATGTTCTGCACAAGTTAATATACAGAGGAGAGACAAGCTGTAAATCTCTGACCTGTTGCTGTTTTCAGATTTAACAAGCTAAAATCATGACATTAAAATAATTACACCTCCTCCGTTTCTTTGCATTCAGGCTGAACGCTTGGAAGGAATCAATGAATGCTTGATAACATATTCTAACATATTTATCTCCTTGCGTCCGTGTGTGTTTGCAGCCTCCAAAAGGGACTGTATTGAACGCTTTGGACAGAGGACCATAGAGAGAATCAACCATGACGATGATGTTATCTGCACCACAGAGTACTCTCGTATAGTCCCGCTGGAAAACGGAGAGGTGATTGCATTATTGCGTTATTATTAATTCATTACTTCAGATTCTGTCTCTCTGTTTAAATGTTGTATTTTCCTTATGGCAGAAGTGAGAATATGTCTTCCAGGTCCAATTTTTTCAAAGTTCAGACTAATAAAATAACAGTTTCTTTGTATATTTATTGCAGATCCGACAACCTAATCTATGACAGTCAGTCAGCACTTTTATCAAACTTATGGCTTAAAGCAATGAACCAATATCATTCATTCTAAGGATTTTCTGTATTTATCTTGATTTGTTACTTCAGGTTAGTGTTCAGGTATTTTTTTGTTGCCATGTGTTTCATCTGATGATCTGTTCTGCTCTGTGATCCGCTCCATGTCAGATTGTGGTGTCCCTGGTGAACGGCCGGCCCGGGGCCATGAACTTCTCCTATTCGCCAGTGCTTAGGGACTTCACCAAGGCCACCAACATCAGGCTCCGCTTCCTAAGGACCAACACCCTTTTGGGACACCTGATGGGCAAGGCGCTGCGTGACCCCACCGTCACCCGGAGGGTGAGGCCCCGCTGCAAGCTGATGTTCAGCCAGTCAGAGATGTAGTTGAGAGTTCTAGATTGGGGGGGCAGGGTCTTTGAAAGGAAAGGAGTTTCAATTTCATCAATTGCTTCTTCCTCCAGATTGATTATTTAGCTTTTTTTGCATGAACTTTACCTCTAAACCATTGTTTATAAAAGGTCTGGTGATTAAAGTCTGTCTGCTCTTGATTTCTTGCAGTACTACTACAGTATCAAAGACATCAGCATCGGAGGAAGATGTGTGTGTAATGGACACGCTGAGGCCTGCAACGCCAATGACCCAAATGATCCTTACAAGTAAGAATCAGGTTTTCTCAGGATTCAACCCGTTCTGCTCTTGTTGCACAAAGGAATGCCTAAAGCTAACTGTTAATTGATCAATAATTTGAGCTGACATTCTGTGATCTTTAGATTTGCAGGTGTAAAAGTTTGAGTTTTTGAGAGAAAAGTTAGAAAAAGACTAAAGCGGTTTGGAGCTGTTTAAAATGTTTTTGCTCCTAAACAAGATGGTGTCTGCTGCTTCTCAATAACTTAAACTGTTGGATGGATTTTTTGCTGATTTTTTTTGAAGATTTTTTGTGCATTTCATTTGGGAAAAATGTTCTTTTATCACACTTTTTGTCTGAAACTCCATACCTGCATTTCAAGTACAGTTGAACATATGATGATATGGGCTTGTTTTGAAGTAAACCATGAACTGTTTGGGATGAGAAACATGAGGCATTCTGTTAGACAGCTAAACTTTGTTCCCCAATTGCCTCATAATCCATGATAGGGATTTAAAGTAAGAGGCAGAAAATATGAAGATTTTACAATCGCCCAGTCAAAGTGCAGACCTCAGCTTGAATAAAGTGCTGTGTAGAGACCTTAACAGAACAGTTTATAAAACCCCAAATATCGATGCGCTCAAACATGTTTCAGGATGAGTGCGCTGAAATTCCTCCAAATTGATGGTGAGAGAATTATAAGGTCATAAAGCAGAAAAAAAAACAAGGCAAAGATGCTTCTATAAACAATTTTCCCCCCACATTGTTTTGGGAATTTTGATTTTGTTGAAAAAAAAATAATTATGCATAAGAAAGAAGTCCAGACAGGACATGCTCTCCTCTCTGATAAACACAAATAAAGAATCAGACTTTACAATTAGAGTCTAATTACACTGACAGGTAGTATCTATTTGAAAATCTCTTTAAAATCCACTTATAAAGCTTTGTTATTTTTACTGTTGTAACCTACAGAGTTTTTGCATGTTAGAAACCCCCAAGATATGACTCTATGATAAATGTCTGTGGTTAAAATTAATCTGGATTTTAGGTTTTATCTCTTTTTTAACCACATATAAGCTGCAAACTTTGTATGCAAATGAGATCTGGAATTTGTTCTCACACGTTACCCTGCTGATGAAGGGATATTTCACTGTGTGTGTGTGGGGGGGGCTTCTTTACCTCAACCTGAGGAGTTTCTTTAACCCTTAACCGTCATCATGAGTGATACCACGATCAATGGCGGAATCAGAAAATGTTCCTAGTTTTTGCCAGGCAGGGACCAATGTGCACTGAGGGGTGACCCAAAACCTATAGGAGCCAAAACCCTAGTTTTGAAAAGAGCATGAGTTCTGTTTTTGTTTTATGTTAGTATATTCATGTGAATAAATAATTAATTACTGTAATTTTATTGTCAACTTATAGTTAATATACTATCAATTGAAAAGCTAAATTAAAGGTGTAGTGGGGGATGTTCTTTTTCTGGGTGGATCATCAAAATAAGTGATCCTCCTATTTGTCAATCATTCTGGTGATACAGTATGTTTTTGTAAGGCCGTCCTGTATGCTTTTCCCTATTTTCACTTATCAGTGGTGGTGGAGAAACTGCAAATCTTCCTTTGGAAAGTGAGCTTGTATGAGCGATGCAAACATGAACTTTTAGACATATAGTGCATGAGGAGAAATGGGCTTGCGCATGCCCTTGCATGTGTTTAATATGTTTTCCCTCTCGGGAGCGAGTACAGCGAGTACAGGGTTGTGGATGTGCTTTTGTTCGTTTTTTTTTTTAATTTGCAAAAATCCTCCACAATAGCTTTAATTAAGACTTTCCAGCTCAAAGTATCACTGCTGCCCCAATCTATTTTGAAGGGGAGATGCTTGTCCTGGAGGTGATGAAGTATGTTCCAATGGGAACATCCAATTACCTGGTAGTGGTGGGTAGTTAGTTGCCAACGGTTGCCATGGCTTTCCCTGGCCCTCCTTCTAGCTCCGCCCCTGGCCAGAATGGAGTAGGAGTTGCAGATGAATGGGTTGCTATTTGCAAAGGGAGAGCTGGAGAGTATGTTTGGAAACAAAAAAATTCACTCGTATTTAGTTCATCCATGTGACAATGGTACAAAGACCTGAATTGAGGAACATCGCTTTATAACATATATAAAGACATTGGAGTGGAGGTTTGAATTTTTTTTTAACTGCCTCTTAGCTGACTGATGTTAGGGTGGGAACAGTTATGGAAGTCTAGATTGTTGATTTCAGTATGGATCACTACAGGCCCAGTCCATGTAGGCCTGGTCCTTTAAAGGATGCAGCCTCATGGTGAGAAACATGCAAACATTTGGAAGTATGTTGTTTTGTACAGTAAATTAACACATGAGTGGAGGATAAAAACCCAGTTTCTGTTTGTACCCTGAATCAAGTCTGTTATTGTAAAGGCAGGATGGAGCTTGTTTTAATGCATGAGACGTTTGTGTGAAAAAAGACTAGATTAGTGCACCTTTTCATTGACTTGATAATAACATGTTTAAAGTGTTCTGCATATAAACTGCAGGGCATATTTTCTTACTTATGAGCGTCTTTCCTCATATGCTGCAGATAAGCTATTATTACTCAGGTAAATCCACCATGAGTCACATACATATATACACACAACTACACAAAACTCACACTCGTAAACATGAAGTTATCTGTCTCCTTGATTTCCATCTGTCTAGTACAAACCGCGCAATTCTGCTTTTCGCTTTTGCCTTTCCTGCAAACAGCCATACATGTGTGAAGAAGAACCACACTTGCTCAGACTTGCTGGATGCATCTGAAGACAATCTTGTGTAAAGTTAGACAGATAGGTTCTTAAATCGCTCTTTTTGATCCATGGGAATAGACTGGGAATTCTGGAGGAAAGGAGGGACATTAGAGGACATCTTGCTGGATAATAAACTAGAATGATAAAATGTAGCTGCACTTTTCCTGCTGAACCTTACATGCAAGATATTCTTAAACTGCTTTGTCCTGCCAGATTAAAGATTTTTGTCTCAGAGGGTATTAAAAAAGCATCAATCTACCACAAGAGCACATGTTTTCTGTGTTACTTTTAATAAGTCTTTTTCTTGGAGGAGGAATATATTATCGTTTACCTGACCTTTAACTTCCGTTAATTATCCTAATAGTACATTAGACTTTCATTTTTGGAAAGATGTTTTATCTTCCCTCTGTCCCCATTTGTGCTAATGGCTAATTCATGGATCATAACATTTTATTTTTAGACCTGTAATCAAGGAGAACCATGCAATGATGACATGCTGGAGGAATCCATAAGTTACCTCAACAAAGAAGGAGGCTGTGGAGAGCAGCTTTCCAACATCTGTCTTAGGAGAAATACTGCCTTTAAATTAGCTCTAAGGATGTGTGATTTAAGGGCTTTTTAAACATCAGGTCATCAAACTCACAAAAGTTGTTTAACTCTCCCGATTTTGCTAATTAATTTCAGTTCACTGAATTAAGTTTTATTTTTAAATGCCGATTATGGTGTTAAACCAACTCTGTATTAATGAATGGATAACTTCTATATGTTATCAGTGTTTCTGGGACAAAATTTTCGCATATGCTCCTTGTTAAACCATCTAATCTTGCTAACACTTATTATTCTGGTGTTTATTCACTATAATCTCCCAGTTTAAATTGAAAATAAACTAAAAAAAATTACATTAATTATGATATGATTGATCAATTTTAGCTCATCAGCAGGTTCTAAGCAATCACCATGTTGCAGGGCATTTAAATGACATTGTGAGCGAGGTTTTTCCTAGTAAACAGCGACAAACTTAACACCAGTCTTGTGCAAAATGTTAAAAGCTGCACTATTTGCTAGACCTGCATGAATAGAATCACAATCTCTCTCTCTCTCCCTCTCTCTCTATATAAATATATATCACAATTTCAAAAGACTGTTTAGATGTAATGTTTTCTAGCAGGGGTGCAACCAGGAGTTTTGAGTTATTTGACTACAAAAAATGCCATCCCATCTCTTTAACTGACCTACCAAAAATAAACATAACATAGGCCGGCAAATGGACCCGCATTACTCGTTATGTCCTCATTGGATTTAGATTTTTGTGATTGAAGTTCTAAAGCACAGAAACAGGGACATCATAATGGTGAAACGGAGGAAAACCGTTTGGTTAATATGGATTAATCAGAACTAACTTCAAACCATCCAGCTTTGGTCAATTAGATTTTTCTTTTTTAAGCTAAGATCCGACGCCAGTCTGAGTAATGATTGTCTTACATTTTATGCAGACTTTCCCCACAATGCATCTTCTTCCCACTTTTCCACCTTCTGTAATAATTCTGATGTCCCCTATTAAATAAAACTTCTGAAATATAATATAATATAATATAATATAATATAATATGGCATAGAGAGTGTTAGTGTGGTAATGAAATAATTAGCTTACACTAATTGTAGTTTAGGTTTCATGGTTCAGAACATAAGGACAAGACAGTGTAATAACTCAAAAAGTGTTTGTTTAAAAAGCGAAGGATTGGTGAAGGGTGCAATCGGGAAAATCTGTAAAAGGAAACACAGGTTGGTGACCACAATAATCTTACTTTGGATAATTATGAACGCGTCACTAACCTCGTTTAACAGTTCAGCCCGTGTCCTGAGAATGAGGTAGGATCTAGCCGGTGAGCTAACAACAAGATGCGTGGGCGCTGCTCAGAGTTTCCCAGATGTTGCAGCCCCACAGAACGCAGAACAAGCAGGAGTCCAAAGCAGAGTCAGGCAAACCGTTCAGACGGAACAGACAGGCTCAGTGGTTGAGAGGCAGAACAGGTCAGGATCAAGACATCAGAAACACAAAGGAACACTTAAAAACAATCTCACCACTAGCACGAAAGAACAAGAATAATCTGGCCCTGAAGACTGGATGCAGGCACCTTAAATAGAGGCAGGAGCAGGTGGATCAGATGAGCAGTTATGAGAAACTTGGCAGAATTGGACAGATGAAAGAAATGTGTAATTAAGCCAGGATATCA